CCGCCGCCGCCGCCGCCGCCACCGCTACTGCTGCCGCTGCCTCGTCGGCGGGATCCGGGCCGGCCATCCAGCGGTCCAAGACGCCCGTGGCCACCAGCGGACTGGCGCCACCACCGCCGTCGGCAAACGGCATGGTCAAGAGCACCAGCACCGGTACCCTCGCTGCCCGAGCGCGCGTCCGCTGAAGTCGCGCGCCCCCTGGCACCTCTGTCCCGTCTCCTCCGCTCTCTCTGGACCTCTTTCGACTTCGTTCCCCCGCCCCTGGCGCCGCTCGGCCATAACCTTATTCGACGTCGCCTTTTGTACTGCTCCAGCTTGTCCCGCCCTTGTCCCGCCCCGTCCTGCCCTGTCCTGATCGACCTCAAAACCCTCACTCTTTCCTTCCCACCCTTGGCCCAACGCCCTCCCGACGCCCACAGACCCTCTCGACCCTCCCTCAGCCCCCTGTCGATACTGCATACATCCCCCCTCGCCCCCGCCCAGAGACTCCCCTTCATTTGCTCCCGAGTCGGCCCTTGACATCTGCATACTCCTACTGCTATCCCCGGTCGTCGTTGGCAAGAGCGTGTGTTGAGAGCGCGACAGAGCAGGCGGGTTGACAGTTGGCGCTTGCCCGCGGTCGCCGAGACAGGGTCACCAGACCACGACAGGACAATCGGAACTCGCCGCGGCTTGTCGGGCATCTCACCTCCGGCCCTGGCTCGGGCGTGACGGAGATGGCCGCGCCAAGCCAGGGTCCCGGCCCGCGCTCGACCCCGAAGCCGAAGCTGCATCGCCTGGACTGTGCGTTCGGGACCCTGGCTCTGCCTGCTTTGGCCCCTCTCCACCACAACCACCACCACCATCACATCCCTCCTTCCTCCTCCTTCTTGCTCTATCTACCACGCACAGCCTGTCAGGACAGGAACAGAAGCAGGGAGCAAAGCAAGATGAGCGCACCGCCGGCAAACGAGTACATCGACGTCTCGACAATCGGCATCGACACTGTCGAGCCCACGCCGTCGCCGCTACCGACCGCACGGCCGCTGCAGTCCTACTGGCTCGCCACTTCTCCCTCGACTCTCGAGGGCGTGACTGACGGATCGGCACAGGTGCCTGCGAAGAGCGATGTGGTCATCATCGGGTACGTCTACGCTACCGCCTCTTTCCCTCGGCGTCCGGTCTGGATCTCGGCTGATGTTGGACTCTCCCCCCTTCACCGTCGCCACACTCTCGACCTCGATCGACGACGACAGCTCGGGCGTGACAGGAGCCTCGACTGCGTTCCACCTCGCTCAGACCTTTCCGCAAAACACGCGCATCACGATCCTCGAAGCGCGTCAGTTCTGCTCGGGGGCGACGGGCCGCAACGGCGGACACCTCTCGCCCGCCTCCGCCCTCGCCTACACCGAGCTCGCCGCCAACCCCAACCACCTGGCTCGCTTCTCCCACCTCGATTCTGCCAGCAGCAAGAGAACAGCGACGACGACGACGACGACGACGACGACGACGACGACGACGACGACGACGACGACGCAAGGGGTGGTACGAAAGATCCTCGAGTTCGAGGCCAGGACCGTCGAGGGGATCCTGGAGGTCGTCAGGGGCAAAGAGGACGAGGTCGAGCTCGTGGGCGGCAAGAACTGGCACCTCTGCTTCCAAGACGCCGAGGTCGATGAGTTTGAGCAGTCGCTCGCGGCCGCCCAGGATGCTGGCCTGACGGACTTTGTCGGTCTGGTCCGCCGAGTGCCAAAGCACGAGTTTGACCAGGTGAGCCAAAAACCCCCGGTCCATCAAGGTGCCGCGGTCCAAGGCATGCAATGACCGGTCGTGCTGACGCCTCACGATTCACGCTTCACGCTTCATGCCGTCGCCCGTCTCGGCCACCGACGATGCGCTCGCGAGCCAGACGATGAAGTCGCCGCGCGGCATCCGCGCCGTCTACGAGATTCCGGGCAACACGATGCACCCGCGCAAGCTGGTCCAGCTCATCTACCGCGCCGCGAGGCAGCGGGCAGAGCAGCGGAACATCAAGCTCGAGGCGTTTGCCCACTGCCCCGTCACGGCCGTCGAGGATGTGGCCGGCGGCGAGGCCATCGACGGCGTCTATCGCCTCAAGGTCAAGGTGGGAGAGCGTGAGGTCTTGGCGCGATACGTAGTCCATGCCACCAATGGCTACGGTGAGTGCAGCTCGGATGGGCCGTGTCGCTCAAGCAGCAAGGAAGGTCAAGTGCGTCGATCTGGCGATCCTTACTCTGATCCTCCCCTGCCTTGCGAACCTGCATCGTGCTACCCACCTCGATAGTGTCGCATCTCGCGCCGCAGCTGGCGGGCCCGACGGGTGTGATCCCCACGCGGGCGCAGGTCGTCGCCGTCGAGCCGGTGAATGAAGCGGGCACGGCCGAGGGCGCCACGACCACGCCCGCCGCAGCAGAAGGACAAGGTTCGACGAGGCAGATCGACAATGAGCGTCAAGGTGCCGCGGAAGCCATCGATAGTGGCGCGGACGGGGCGCCGCCGACCAAGATGCTCTGGGGCATGGGCATCAGCGCCGGGGGCGGGTACGAGTACGGCCACCAGCGACCCGTGCTGCCGAGCGTCGTCGCTGAGCGGACCGGCGACGAGGATGCCGTCGTCGGCGACAAGCTCAAGCGCGTGCGGCGCCCGCTCTTCGTCTTTGGCGGCGGTCGCGAGTATGCCGATGGCCGCGAGTGGGGCGTCGCCGACGACGGCGCGCTCAACGACACCGTATCGGAGGTGAGTGCATCCGTCCGTCTGCCTGGCCGTCTGGCCGTCTGGCTGTCTGGCCGTCTGGCTGATCGGCTGCTCGACATCGAGTGGCCGGGGCGTTGGATGCCCACCGGAATCGCCAGGATGCTGACCCGCCACGCCCGCTTGCCCCCGCGCCTCGGCCCACTTGCCGACCCGTCAGTTTCTGCACTCGTGGCTGCCTCGCATCATGCCGCAAGACTACGAGGGCTCCGACGTGGTGCTCGAGTGGACGGGCGTCATGGGATACACCAAGAGCAAGGACCCCTTTGTCGGTCCCCTGCCCCGTCATCGCCGCGGCGCCGGCAATGGTGCCGGTGGGGAGCCAGGGGCGGCGACGATGGCGGGACAGTTCCTGAGCGCCGGCTACTCGGGGCACGGCATGAGCCGAGCGTTTGGCTGCGCCGAGGTGGTGGCGTCGATGGTTGTGGCCGAGGAAAAGGGCGAGGCGTGGACGCCGCCGCAGTGGTTCCCGCTCTGCTACCTCTCGGCCCTTCCTGAGAGTCAGTGAGAAGCGTAGCGTACAGTACAGTACCGTAGGGTGAAGCACGGAGCAGGCCGAACGACGGGGCGCTGTCCCCGCTAAGAATTGACCATGCAAGAGAGGGGGCAGAGACGAGGTCGAAAGGTTGCGATGCGATGGCGAATGATGGGCAAGGTGGGGAGCGTGGCGCCAACGTCCGTCGAGGTTACGACGGCCCGGAAGAAGCTAAAGAAGGGAAGACGGAGGGCTGGCCGGCCGGCGACCCCAAGAAGAAGAAGGAGAAGAAGAGGGTTCCTACCTGGCCGAAGGTGTCGAAGCAGAAGCGGCGTGAAAGCGGCCTGCGTGCGCCTGGCGCGGAAAACGAGGCTGTGGTGCCTCGCCCCGTGCCGCCTGCCTTGCGTCGCTGCCTCTGCCTTGGATCCGCGGCGGTTCAGGCAGCCAGCCGGGCAGGGGTAGCACAGCGCAGCGCAGGGCCAAGGACCCGGGAATGCGGGGAAGCGAGCGAGCAGGCCGAGCGGAGTCGCTGTGCGCTAGCCTGGCCTTCGCCGTCTGACGCTGTCGCTGCCCTCGCTCTGCGACCCTAGCTCGAAGGTGCTGGGTGGTGGAGCAGCGGCTCGTGCCCTTCGCGGCCTCGTACCCGTCCTCGACCTCGACCTTGGCTTTGGCCCTAGCTGGCCCTGACCCTGGCTCTCTCTCGCACTGGATATAGGCGCCAGACTCCCGCCCGTCCTTCCCTGTCTCAGCCTGCGTGCGTCCGTCGTCTTCCTGTCTTCGCTGCCTCCATCCCCAACCTCATCCTCGTCACCGTTCTTGTATCCCACCCACCCTTCTCGCCCCAGCCAGGTCACCGTAGCCAGCCAGTCCCGCCGCGATGCCGCCCATGCCAGAGCTCGCCAACCGGCGCACCAAGCCCGCCACGTTCACCATCGATGCCCTGATCCGCCTCATCCGCCCCTTTTTCCACAACCCCGTCGTGGCCGCCGCCGCCCTGCTCGCGGGCATCCACCAGGCGTCGGCCCAGGGCGAGCTGGCCTTTGCCTTTGCCCGAAGGGACCTGGCGCCGCGCCAAAAGGTCCGGCTCATCCTCGAGCTGGCGCGCGATGCGCTGGCCAACAGCCGCCTGCTGCGCCTCTACGCCTACCTCGTCGGCATCAAGGCCATCAACGCCCTCGGCAACCGTGTCGTCATCAACAAGAGCGCGCCACGCCCCATCATGTGGCGCGACCACGTCGTCGTCATCACGGGCGGCGCGCGCGGCATCCTCGGCGAGACGGCCAGGATGCTCGCCCGCAAGGGCGCAAAGGTGGCCGTGCTCGACATGGCCCCCAAGTCCGACCACGGCACCGAGCGCCTCTACGTCCAGACCGACGTCACGTCCGAGGCGTCGCTCATCGCGGCCAAGAAGCGCATCGAAACGGAGCTGGGCCTCTGCACCATGCTCATCGCCGGCGCCGGCCTCGGCAGGCACGGCTTCCTCCTCGACCCGCCCGAAGTCTTCCCCACCGAGTACGCCACCGAGGTCTCGGACGTCAACCTCCACGGCGTCGTGGCCACCCTCAAGGTGTTTGGCCAGGACATGCTCCCCGACGGCGGCAGGCGCGAGGGCAAGGAGATCAAGCAGGCCAGGAACGGATGGGGCGGCCACATCCTCATCCTCGGCAGCGGCGCCGCTTTCGTCGAGTGAGTGCGCCGTCGGCCGGTCGCTGCTCCCAGGGCCAGACTGGCTTGCTGACACTTGCGACTTGTCGACGTTCCTCGTTACCCTCTGTTTCTCTTTCCCCCGACTGCCAGGCTGCCGGGCAACGGGACCTACAATGCGAGCAAGGCGGGCGCCGTGAGCCTGCACCACACGCTCAGCACCGAGCTCGAGGCGTGGCACAATGTCGACAACGTGCGCAACTCGGTCATCTGCCCGCTCAAGGTCGAGTCGCCAATGACCGACGGCATGATGAAGGACACCGACAACCAGTTCCTCCTCCCGACCTTGATCAGTGAGTGCCGTGCAGCAGCTCCGGTCCGACTCGACTCGACTCGACTCGACTCGCCGGTGCGCCGTCGAGCTGACCCTTGCGCCTTCCCTCCCTTTCGGTGCCCTCTTTCCCCTGCTTCTTCGCCCGCGAGCAGTCCCCGAGGTGGCCGCCAAGATTGTTTCCATGCTCGAGGAGGACAAGAGCAGGATGGTCTTTATGCCCCGCGCCGCCTATGTGCTGTCCTACATTGTGAGTGGGCGGGCATCTCAGGATGTGTGGCAAGGCCCGCGCGTCAGAGACGGGCAAAAGACCCGCGTACGCATGCTGACAGACACCGGCCCTCTTCACCACCACCGCTGCCGGCGAACAGCGCAACCTGCCGCCATGGCTGCTGCGCCTCTCTCTGCGCGGCGTCGGGGCGTTTGAGACCTTCCTCACCTACTCGCGCGTGCACCGCACGGCCGACGCGACAAAGTAAGCCATCGCCTCGCCTCGCCTCGCCCCGCCTCGCCTGGCTTTTCGTCGTCGTCGTCCGTCGTCTCAGCTGAGCGTCTGTATTATGTTTGGCTCAATCTGTCCGCCGGCCCCCGCTGAGGGTGAGTTCGTCGGCTCGGCCGAGAATATGATTGTGAGATCGTCTGACCCCCGACCTGGGGCGTCTGCACTTGCAGAGGACGGGAGCGACAGTCTGGGCCCGAACACGGTGCGAGGACGTCGAAGCGCAGATGGAGCTGGGACCGAAGTAGCGCGTGTCAGCGAGCGGGCGAGGCGGGTTCGCCACGGGATGCACCGAACATCCGGCAGGACGATGGCGAGCGCTCCGCGCGGCTGACCAGGCCCAGGCTATGCATGCACGGTCGATCAAGGGTAGGTTCCGGAGTAGGTGCATCTCAGGGGCTGCTGATCTGCTTTCTCTATCTTTGCTCTCTCTTCTGACTGACTAGACGACGAGGCAGGGCAGGCCAGGACGACGACGGAACGAGCAAAGGGGGCCAGGCGAAAGGGCCCCCCGAAAAGTCTTGGCAGGTCGGGACGCGCCTCGTTTCTGCCACAGCCTCCTGCCTCTACATCGGCGTTTGATCCCGCCAGGTAAGTCAGGTCTAGCCTTTACGGCGGTCGACCTGTCGGAGGCCCCTATAGGACCCTCAACCGGCTGTAGGGGAGCGATCTCGATGTACCAAGGGGCAAAGCGGTAGAGGCAGGCTAAGGAGGAAGGAAGGATCCGAAGAGAACGTCCCACGTCGACGTCGGAGCGTTCTTCTCGACGCGCCCGGGCCTAGACGGGCAGGCCTGCCTGCCCCCCTATTTCGAGGCGAGGCAGACGTTGGTCCGTGCATCGGTACCGCCGAAGACGCATCGATCGGGTACGAGGCGAGGCCTGGCCGACCGACGGGAAGGAGCGGCAAGGCCAGGCAAGGCCAAGGTCGTGTCGGCGCTTCCGAGATGTCGGACTACTGCCACCATGTCTTGGGCAGCAGCGACGGCGACGACGGCGACGGCGTCGGCATAAACCGACCGAAAGATAGGGTGGCGAGCGCCGAGGGCGGGATCGGCAGGACCGACGACGACGCCCGGACAGCAGACGTGGCGGGTGGGCCTGCCTGCCCGCCCTGCTGGATTTTTGTGTTTGGTGCTGCAGAGACCACCCGGCCCTGCCTCGCCTTTTGTTCAGCCCTCGTTCTGCTTGCTGCTTGCTTTTCGAGCTTGGCAGGCAGGCAGGCGGTGCCGTACAGTACGTCGTGTCTGCCTGCAGGCAGGATGACGACAAAGGCAGGCAGGGCCAAACTTGCAGCCAGAGTTGCAAAGAAGCAAAGCAAGCAAGCAAGCAAGCAAGCAAGCAAGCAAGCAAGCAAGCAAGCAAGCAAGCAAGCAAGCAAGCAAGCAAGAAGGAGCCAGGGCGGTTCGGGCCGGAGCGAGCGAGGCGATGCTGCTCGCTGCTGCCTGCTGGCCTGCGGTTGCCCGCCCGTCCGCACGCACGCGTACGTGGTTCCTGGCGCTTGGCAGGCGGCACAGCCCGCCGGCGTTTGTGCGACGACGCACGCATCGAGGGCGCGCTGGATGCTCGTTCGCTCGCGCGCTCCGTCGAGTCGCGGGCGGCGGCGGCCGACGTCTCCGCCGCCCATCCACGGCGGGCTCGTACCGGTACACACAGTAGTACCGAGAGCGTGCAGACGACCTGGCTTCAGCAAAGCAGCGGAAAAATCTCTCTAGGCTGTCGGGTGTTGCCGACCGGGGAGGCATTCAGGCAGGTTGGGGCAGGCAAATGGCTTTGCGCAGTCGACTAACCTCTTCATCCACATTGCTGCTGGGCATTGGCCAGCCCGCGACGGCGACGACGACGACGACGACGACGATGGCGGCGGCGAGGGTCGAGCGAGATGAGGTCGGGTGCAGCGGGCGCCTCCTTCCAGAACAGGGGTCGAGGAGAAACGCGCCTGGCCCTGGCCTTTGCTTGGCCGCCTGCCTGTCAGGGCGCTTGCCGAGGCGGGCCAAGCCCAGCAAGCAGGCAGCCAGGAGGGCAGGCAGGCAGGCAGCGACCGAGAAAAAGACGAAAAAAGGCAGGCAGGCAGGCAGGCAGGCAGGCAGCGAGGGAGGGAGGGAGGGGCATGATCAACCAACAAACGGAGCGCCAAGAGGCTGTCGGGCAGGCAGAGGGGCGAGGAGGGCAGCGCAAAGGGGGGGCAGGCCAGCCGGCCAGCCAGCCAGCACGGACGCACGGTGGGACGGACAGCCCCAGGACCAAGGACCAACGCAAGCGCAGTCGAGTCGAGGCGAGGCAGAGAGCCCCTCGACGCCGCACGTCGTCTTTTTTGGCTTCGCTCGCTCGCTCCGGCTATGCCAGGCCTGGCCTGCCCTGGACTGCCCTCTGGCCCGCCCTTCCCTGCCTCTCTCTGGCCGCCATCGTTCGTCCGTGCTCCTCCTTCTCCTGCTGCCTCCTGAATCCCCATCGCTTGCTTGCTTGCTTCCGGCCTGGCCCTCGAGTCTGCGCAGTCGCCTCTCTCCGCCACCACCACGTCCATCACCGCCACCGACGCCGTGCCGCTGCGACGCCCTCTCGCCACCACCACCGCCCTCGCCCCGAGTGCAGTGCAGGATCCGCGCCATCGACCGCCCGTCGCCTGCTCCGCCCCCGGCCCCGTCTTCCAGCCGACCCGCTTCGAGTGTAGATCGCCACAGCGCAGCCTAAGGTCGTGTGGCCGCTGGTCCGCCACCACCTCTCCCCCGCACCCACCCCTCCTCTTGCGCATCCGATCCTGCCTGCCACGACGCACGCCTACGCACCGACCACTGCCAGCAGCACAGCACGCTACGACCTCCTCCATCCTAATCCACACCCACCCCTCGGCGCCGAGCGTCCGAAGCCGCCATCCACGACGCCACAAGCCAGGACGCAGCATACATACCGTACGATCCCCCGACGATACGCTCCATCACGACAGCCGGCGCCATCCCTCGCTCCATTGTAACGCCCGGGAATCCGCAGTGGTACCTGCCCCCGCACAATACGCCCCTCGTCGTCTCGACGTCCCCATCCGTGCCGCACGCCGAGCCGCTCACGACGCACTACTAGACTAGAGGCCGGCCAACCTGCAGCCATCTTGCTTGTTCGCTTGCTACCAGCACGCACTCGCCTCTGCCGTGCGGATACACGCCTGCCGCACCGCCTGCCTCATCTGCTGGCGAGCCGTCGCGAGCTACCTGCAATCGCCATCGCCATCGCCATCGCCATCGCCATCGCCATCGCCATCGTCATCACCACCGCCATCGCTACCGCCACCACCGCTGTCACAGCCACCGCTTTCGCCACCAGGATCGCCTTTCCTCTCCTCTACCGCAATTTGACAGCATCGGCCTTGTCTTTCGACTTTGACTGCGTCCCCCCCAATATCCCTGCGGCTGTCGCTGAAGCCGCCGCCGCCGCCGCCGCCGCCGTCGTCGTCGTCCTTGTTGCCGGCCTCGCCCTCGCCCTCGTCGTTTCCGCCCTCGCTGTCGTCCCTGGTGACCGGCGACGCCCTCGGACACAGCCACCATGGTGTTCGGGCGGTCTGACGGCCGGCGCGAGCCGAGCCTCGACCAGCATGGTCACAACTACGACGCCAACATCCTCAGCCCCTACCGTCCCGGCCCATCCGATCAGAGCTACCTCACCGATCCCACGCACCCCGACTACGACCCGATGGTGGACCCCAACCTCCAGCTGCGGACCGTCCGAACGGCCGCCGCCTCGATCGCAGAGTCGCACCGCTCCGAGCAGCGGCGGGACGATCGGAGGCGGGCCAAGAAGATGGGCAAGTCAAACAGCCTCTCTGGCAAGCTCTTCCGTGGGCGCACCCTCCGCAAGGAGAAAAAGGAGCCCTCGACGTTGGCCAACATGGTCGCCGACGAGGTCGGCAAGCACAAGGGCTCCGGTGCGCTCGGCACCGGCGGCTACGGCGTCGGCGTGCCCTTTGACTCGGCGCAGCAGGACAAGACGCCCTACGCCGCCACGGCCGACGCGGAACGACGGGCGTGGGAGGAGGCCGAGCTCGAGGACGAGGAGCGGCGCTCCGACGGCGAGCTGTCGGCGCCGCAGCCGACGGGGCCGACGATGAAGCGGGTCAAGCCAAAGAAGCGCCGCAACGTCTACGTCAACGTCCAGCCGCTCTCGTCGGAGCTCAAGAAGAACGGCGACCCGGCGGTCAAGTACCCGCGCAACAAGGTCCGCACGTCAAAGTACACCGTCATCACCTTCCTGCCGCGCTTCCTCTTCGAGCAGTTCCGCCGGGTGGCCAACATCTACTTCCTCGGCCTCGTCATCCTCCAAGTCTTTCCCACGTTTGGCGCCACGATCCCGCAGATTGCCATGCTGCCGCTCGTCGCCATCCTCACCATCACCGCCATCAAGGATTCGATCGAAGACTACCGCAGGCACGTGCTCGACAACACGGTCAACAACTCGGCCGTCACGCGCCTCGGCAACTGGCGCAACCTCAACCAGGCCAAGGACTCGCGCGGCTTCTTCCAGCGCCTCTTTGGCCTCTCGGGCCGCGGCAACGCCAAAGTGTCCAAGGGCGTGCGAAAGCTGCGGGAAAAGGAGGACGCCATCGGCATGCGCGAGGTGTCTGGCTCGCGCCACGGCGCCGCCGCGCGCTACGGTGACGGCCCCGACGACGATGACGAAGACGACTTTGGCGGCCGCGGCGGCCGCGGCGGCAACCGCATCGGCCGCAGCGACAGCCTCAACAGCTCCAACGCGCTCCACACCATTGTCAGCGAGAGCGAGCGCGACGACATGAGCCTCCGCCACAGCGGCGGCGGCGGCATCGGCGGAGCCAATGGCCCACCGCACTCGGCGACGGCCGAAAGCTTCGGCCACGCGAGCAACGTCGAGGGCGTCGTCGACTACCGCAGGCACACGCCCGGCACGGCCAAGTGGGAGCGCACGCTGTGGAAGAAGCTCGAGGTGGGCGACATTGTCATGCTGCGCGAGGACGACCAGGTGCCCGCCGACATTGTCATCCTCAACTCGTCGGACCCGGACGGCAACGCCTACGTCGAGACCAAGAACCTCGACGGCGAGACCAACCTCAAGCCGCGCAAGTCGCTCAAGGCCACCATGGGCATCCAGTCCGAGGAGGACCTCGAGCACGCGCGGTTCGTCATCGACAGCGAAGCGCCGCACGCCAACCTGTACAGCTACAACGGCCTGCTCAAGTACACGGCCCGGACCAACGGCAAGGAGGGCGGCGGCGGCGGCGGTGACGCCTACTCGGACGCCCACGAGTCGCTGCCGCCGGACAGCAGCGCCTACGCCGCCGCGCAGCACCAGGCGCGCCGAACCGAGCCCATCAGCATCAACGAGCTGCTGCTGCGCGGCTGCGCGCTCCGCAACACCGAGTGGGTCATTGGCGTCGTCGTCTTTACCGGCGAGGACACCAAGATTATGCTCAACAGCGGCGAGACGCCGTCGAAGCGCTCCAAGATCGAAAAGGAGACCAACTTCAACGTCATCGTCAACTTCCTCATCCTGGTGGTGCTGTGCGTCGTGTGCGCCGTCGTGGGCGGCCTGCGGCTGTACGAGGGCGGCGGCAGCCGCGACTACTACGAGCCGGGCGGCGAGGTGAGCGACAACACCATCGTCAACGCGCTCATCATCCTCGGCTCCTGCCTCGTCGTCTTCCAGAACATTGTGCCCATCTCGCTCTACATCTCGATCGAGATTGTCAAGACGATCCAGGCGTTCTTCATCTACCAGGACATCGAGATGTACTACGCGCCGCTGGACCACCCGTGCGTGCCCAAGACGTGGAACATCTCCGACGATCTGGGCCAGATCGAGTACATCTTTTCCGACAAGACGGGCACGCTGACGCAGAACGTCATGGAGTTCAAAAAGTGCTCGATCGACGGCGTGCCCTACGGCGAGGGCATCACCGAGGCCATGGTGGGCGCCATGAAGCGCGAGGGCAAGGACGTGTCGGGCTTCAGCGCCGAGCGCCAGGAAGAGGAGCTGGCCCAGGCGCGCGACAAGATGGTCCAGATCATGACGCGCGCGTTCAAGAACCGCTACCTCCGCCCGGACCGCGTCACGCTCATCTCGCCCGACATGGCCGAGGTGCTGGCGTCGAGCCACCAGAACCCGCAGCGCAAGAACGTCGTCACCTTCTTCCGCGCCCTCGCCCTCTGCCACACGGCGCTAGTCGACCGGCCCGACGGCAACGACCCCTACACGATCGACTACAAGGCCGAGAGCCCGGACGAGGCGGCCCTCGTCAGCGCCGCGCGCGACGCCGGCGCCGTCTTTATCGGCAAGAACCACACCAGCATCGACATCGAGGTCGTCGGCCAGCCGGAGCGCTACACGCCGCTCCAGGTGCTCGAGTTCAACTCGACGCGCAAGCGGATGAGCGTCATCGTGCGCGACCCCGAGGGCCGGCTGCTGATGATCACCAAGGGCGCCGACTCGATCATCTACCAGCGCCTGCGCAGCGACCACCCCGAGGAGCTCAAGCAGAAGACGCAGCGCGACCTCGAGGACTTCGCCAACGCCGGCCTCCGCACGCTGTGCATCGCCTACCGCTACCTCGACGAGCGCGAGTACGTCGAGTGGGCGCGCCTCCACGAGGAGGCGGCGGCCAGCCTGACGGACCGCGAGGACGCCATCGACGCCGTCAACGAGCAGATCGAGGTGGACCTGACGCTGCTCGGCGCCACGGCGCTCGAGGACAAGCTCCAGGTCGGCGTGCCCGAGGCCATCGCCACGCTCCACCAGGCCGGCATAAAGCTCTGGATCCTGACGGGCGACAAGCTGCAGACGGCCATCGAGATCGGCTTCAGCTGCAACCTGCTTTCGTCGGACATGGAGATCATGATCATCTCGGCCGACCACGAGGCGGGCACGCGCGCCCAGATCGAGGCCGCCTGCAACAAGATCGCCGCCGCCGGCCGGCCCGTCGTCGTCGAGGAGGACGCCGGCCCGGGCAAGCGCAAGAAGAAGACGCGCCTCGACATTGCGCCGACGGGCGACGCGCCCAAGGCCGGCTTCGCCGTCGTCATCGACGGCGAGACGCTCCGCTACGCGCTCGACGACAAGCTCAAGCCCCTCTTCCTCGCCCTCACCACCCAGTGCGAGGCCGTCGTCTGCTGCCGCGTCTCGCCCGCCCAAAAGGCGCTCACCGTCAAGCTGGTCAAGGACGGCCGCAACGCCATGACGCTCGCCATCGGCGACGGCGCCAACGACGTCGCCATGATCCAGGAGGCCCACTGCGGCGTCGGCATCGCCGGCCTCGAGGGCGCCCAGGCGTCGATGAGCGCCGACTACGCCATCGGCCAGTTCCGCTACCTCAACCGCCTCCTCCTCGTCCACGGCCAGCTCTGCTACCACCGCATCGCCGACCTGCACAAGGTCTTCTTCTACAAAAACATTATCTGGACCTCGATCATGTTCTACTTCCAGATCCACTGCGACTTTTCGGCGTCCTACGTGTTCGACTACACGTTTGTCCTGCTCTACAACCTCGTCTTCAGCTCGCTCTGCGTCATCGTCATTGGCGCCCTCGACCAGGTGGTCAACGTCGGCGCCCTCTCGCACTTCCCGCAGACCTACAAGCGCGGCGTCCAGGGCAAGGAGTACACCAAGTCGCTCTTTTACCTCTCGATGCTCGACGCCGCCTACCAGGGCGCCGTCTGCTACTTTATCCCCTGGTGGTTCTGGACCTACGCGCCCATGGTCGGCGCAGACGGCCAGGACATGTCGGCGATCAACTTTTTCGGAACCTCGATCGCCGCTGGCGCCGTCACCACCGCCAACCTCTACGCCGGCCTCATTGCAAAGCACTGGTGAGTCTTGAGCTGGTAGCGCCGCCGTCCTTCTGCACGGATCACCGGGCGGAGAGGAGCGGGAGCCATCCGAGCCGATCCGCGTGCCTCTTTGCTCTTTCGCTGACCCCCCTTGCCGCTCTGACCATCCCCTCTGCCGCCGTCCGCCTGCTTTCAGGACCGTCATCTTCTGGATCGTCGAGATCGTCTCGCTGCTGAGCGTCTACGTCTGGATCCTCGTCTACTCGGCGTTCCCGGTCTTTGCCTACCAGAATGTGGGCTACTACGTGATGCAGACGATCAGCTTCTGGGCCGTCGTGCTGCTCATCACGGTCGTCTCGCTGCTGCCGCGCTTCTTTGCGCGCGCCTGGCGGTCGTCGTTTATGCCCAACGAGCTCGACGTGGTGCGCGAGGCGTGGGTCAAGGGCGGCCTCAAGGACCAGCTCGAGATCCCGCACCGGAGCGAGAAGCGCAACCGCAAGGCGCAGCGCAACCGCGACCTCGAGCGCAACCAGGGCAATCTCTTTTACGCTGCCAAGCAGTCGACGGAACGGCAGAAGAACACCCTCTACCCGGACAACGACGACGTATCCGAGACGTCGGCCGACCCCTTCCCGACGGCCAACTACGAGCAGCACTACAACGACAACGGAGGCGGCCGCCCGCGCACGTCGTCGAGCCCGCCCAACCCGGGCGCGGAGCGCGAGGGCGCCATCTCTGGGCTCTCGTACTATACGCCCGAACAGCTGCCAGGTCGGGACACGCCGCAGCCTCTCGGCGATTACGGCCAGCAGCAAAAGCAGCAGCAGCAGCAGCAGCAGCAGCAGCAGCAGCAGTATTACCAGCGGCAGCAGCAGCATTACGGGCAACAGGCGCAACCGGGACAGCAGCAGCAGTACGGCGGCAGCGGCTACGGCGCCGGCCAGCACTTCACGTCGCACCAGTCGTCGGCAAACCTCTCGACCGAGCCGAGGCCCGACGTGCCGATGATCAACGTGCAGAGGGCGTCTGGGTCGACGTACCACTACGAGCCGAGCATCTCGATGAGCAACTCCCACGATCAGCTGGTGCATTCGAGCCCATCCCACGACGAGGTCCGGCCGCCCCATCCTCGGCAAGAGGCTTCGGCCGACAGCTTCTCGCGCGCCTTCGACGAGGCATTCGCCGACGAGTACAGTGCTTCGCCGTACCCCGCCGCCGCTGGCGGACCGCAGCAACAGCAGCAACGCCACCCGCCGCCGCCGCAGCAGCAGCAGCAGGCATCGCCCGTATCGCCAAACTACTCGTCGCGGTACCACGACCGCTTCAGGGCCGAGCCGGCGTCGCCGCCGGATCGCCACGGCGATGGCTTCGGCGGCTACTCTGATCCGAACAGCGACTCGGCGCAGCAGGACGGCGCTCTGCCGCACCCCGACGTCGTCGCACGCCGCAGGAGACGTCGGCGGCCTGAGACTGCCAAGGCACACGAGGGGGATAGGG